TACAGACGTTTGTAGGGGGGCACAAACTTGACCCCCACCCACCATACAAACGTCTGTAAATTTTCGCAACTTTGCGACGCAATATCTTCGCTCGCTTAAGACGTATCACTTTGAAATTTGGCACGCAATTTTACTAATACTAATGCGCTCTTTCCATTGGTTTCGACGGATTATCTCTTTCTGGTCCATATAAAAAGTTGAAATAACCGTGAAAAGGACTATTTTAGAAAAGAAAAAGAAAACAAGTTCTGCGTACAAGCTTGGCTTTAAAAGGTCAACATTGGCGGTGCCAAGGATTTTTTCCAAAAAAATAATATTCCATGATGTCAGTGTTAAAAATTGCTAAATTCTGAGTGCGAAACAAAATGAATCAAGGTCATAAAACAAGGTCTCTTACGTTAAACAGGGTAGCGAAATGACCGATTTTTGTCTTAACCCTTCAAACCCTACGATCAAAATGAAAATTCTCATTTGTCGCCCCTATTCATTTACTATAGAAGTAGAAGGGAGAAGTTGATAAAATATCAAGCAAATTCATCTTGTGTGATCATATCCTTAATTCTCATGACCACTCTATTGTACAAAGTATTGCTATTACAAGGAGAAATTTGATGCTGATCACTTTTAGGGTTTAAAGGGTTAAAAAGGTTTTTTCAGTTTTCTGTGAGTGCATCGGTATAACAAACAATCGGCATTTGACCGATAAACACATGTATCACATCATTAACCCTGTTATGGGAAATTAACAGTTCATGAAATTAACACGAATTTCACATTTTTGCTAACGTGAATTTCCGCTCCATTTATGGATGGAGTGTTAATTTCCGTTATTACACTCCTGACTTTCGCTGGGACTCCTTGACACTCAGGAAGGAGGTGTGTTTTATCAGTGTGGAAATCCGCCGGTATCAATGAAACTGTGAAGAAACCTCGAAGTGGCCAGATTCCTTCGTTTAATCCCCTTGTTTAGGGATAGTAGTACAAACTATGTTTGAGTTTTGGATTATACGTTTGAATTTGTTACCGTGTTTTCTCCACAAGTTTTGCTTCTTTGTGTACTTCGCGTTACTCTGGGTACCAGAGGTTTTTCTCGCGTGCGACGGGAATTTTCGGTGTTGGCCGAAGGCCGACATATCTTCGGCCGCAGGCCGCGGGTCACTATAAAGACTTGACAGAAACAGGAAACCGCGCTAGAAAAGTCTCTGCCACCCAGGGTAACGTCGCGTTTATTTCCTTCGTTGAAATGTGGGTCTCAACAGGCACACAACGACGGTTTCCTCCGAAATGTATTGAAATCACTTTTAAGGCTATTCAGAGTACTTTTAGATCTCCTAGAAATGCATCCTAAGCGGCACTCTTAAGTTTGTATCTGTTCGGTCATCCTAGGAGAAGTTGAGTCTTTTCGAAATTACAAGGGCTTCAGTTACATTTTCCCGAAAATTTTAGATGCAATTTCACGTATTTTGAAAGTGAGAATTTTTCTGATTACTCTTCTATCACGAAAATTTTAGGTTTTCCTTTTTTCTACGAGAAAAAGCCAAACCTGGGGAGTGAAATGTGAAAAGTTAAGAAGTTAATTTACCAATTACTTAAACTTCCTTTTTAACCGTCAACCGTCAAAAGCTCTAAAATTTCAATAACCGCCAATCGTCAAATTTAGAAAAAATTACGCCGTCAACCGTCTAAGCTACCACTCCATTGAGACCCTCTGAAATTCTACCCTCTCTTCCGCGTTAATTAACTTTAATTAACAGTAGACGGACGCAACAGGTAACATCCAACAACATCCTTCCTTCGATTCATTTCGCATTAATTAAAGTCGCGTTAATTTCAATTAACATAAATAACACCAGCATCCATTTCCTATTATAAGGTATGGTATTGTGTAGATTTCTCGTCATGTAAACGCTCAACAAAATAACAAAGACTGTCCAAATCTCTAAAATTTTAGTAACAGTCAATCGTCAAATTTAGAAAAAGTTAACCGTCAACCGTCTAAGTTACCACCCCATTGAGACCCTCTGAAATGCTAACCTCTCTTTCGTGTTAATTACCTTTAATTGAAAGTAATTTGTCCTTCATGTCGCTTTTATTAAAGTCGCGTTAATTTCAATTACTGTAATTAACACAAGCATCCATTTCCTATAATAAGTTATTTTGTAAATTTCTGGTCACGTAAACGCTCAACAAAATTACAAAGAATGTCCATGATGAGACCTTTCAAATAAAAACTCCTTTTTGGTCGAACTTTCACATAGTGCCAGTTGATCTTAATAATAATGATAATAATAACAACAACAATAATAATAATGATAATTGTTAAAAACTGAATAATAATAAAATAAGCAATAGAAAATTTACATGTAAAAAAGCTATTTTAAATAACTACCTAGTTCTTTCTTAAAAGAAGGTAAAGAAAATTGGTCTCTGAGACTATCTGGCAGTGCTTTCCAGAGAATGGGTGCTGCAACTGAGAAGGCTCTACAACCATAACTTTTTTAAGTGGTATTGCTCATGTGGTAAGTAGTTTTTTGAGTTTGATTTTCACTATATTACAACCTTAATTCAATGATTTTTGGTCCACAATATTTTTATGCTTAGTACTCAGTTAAGCCCCCATCCAATGTTGGATGTTACATGTTGTGTCCATTTGCACACCCTGCTGCATGATGTTGGGAGTCGTCGTACAAAGTTTGAAACTGGTCAAAATTTTGAGCCAAAAACTCCCAACATTTCTTTTGTTCCGTGATCGCTGAAGAGTAATGCAACAATGTTGGATCCATTTGCAAAGCTCTTTCCAACATGGTTGAGGCCGTGCACGCACATCACAAATCGTTTACAAAGTCTTATGAGTTGTATCCTTCCCATGATGCACTGTTGGGAGTTTCTGCATCCATTTACACAGCACTGCCAAAACGGATGCAACAACTCCCAATATTGTTGGCCCAACAGTGTTGGGAGTTGTTGCATCCATTTGCAAGTAACTTTAGGGAGCGAAGAGTTTAAACTTCCAACTTACCAATTATAGCAACTGCCTTATCTAGAGCATTGTACAAAGCCCAGAAGTTTGGAGCCCAGTAGGCGTGGCATAAACCACGCTTGAAAGGAAACAGTCTAGATAATACTTGATTCAACTGATCCTGAAATCAGAAACAGCAAAGTTAAATGATGTTTTTGATAGCACAACCATCAAAGGAGGATGGTGGCATGAGTATTATTTAGAGGGCAGAGGAAGGGAGGGGAGGGGAGGGGAGGGTTCTTTCTGGAGAGGGCTATTATTCAACAGGTCGAGCCACAATAGCTCGGGCATTCATGAGCTTATCACACCATCCATCGCAGTCCTGCAGCAAAGCAGGGAGGTCGTTTGGAAGGCATCCCTTGTCTCTACAGAGTTGGTCGATATAGGTGATTGCAGGGTGACCAACCCGCCTTCTACCACGGCTAGGTGACCAGAGCAGCAGTAGATTGCTAGTGAGTTCTTGTTTTGCTCGCCAGGAGTGACCTGCAAAATGCATTCTTTGTTCACGTAAGATTGTAGAAATGTCAGGGATGGGTCCATGAAGCTGCAGTTTGGTTGGATGTTTGCAATTTGGAGAGGCTATAACTACAAAATAATATGGTTAAAATGAATCGTGTACAACAGTCCTTTCACAATGATCTTTTTTTTATTTGCTAGTATAAATTATTTCCTACGTTACTTGTTAATAAAAGGCAGGGTGCAAAGAAAGACAGTTTTACAGCTTGCTATCTGGGCAAGCTGTAGCTAGCATGTACTAGCCCAACAGTCATTTCAACTAACTCAAAAAATTTTTGATGACCAGGATTGATCACAGTTCTTCTGCAATTTGAATTCCCCAAAACTGCCCTTTCCCTATAAGGAGAGTTAAGAACAGAATTCACTAGCCAGATAACAAAATCCACTGGCCCCAGGCTATCAAACACTGCTTTCTTTGCATGCTGAGACAATTCAAAGAAGAAAAGGGGAAGGACTTACAGTAATAAAATTATTGAAACAACCTACCATGACTATGAAAGGCCCAAATGAAGCACCAAAAACAAGCACAACTATAACGCCAAGTCTCAATAAATGTAAGGGAGAGAAATCCCAGATATTCACACCGAAAATAATCAGCTGCTTATCTGTAAATAATGGAAAGCAAAAACAAAAAAATTTCAACAAAATAAATGCCGCATAGACCGTTAGGGGGAATTAATACTTTTGGTCCCCACTGGTACGAAGGCTCACAAACATTCTGTAGCCTACAAAATGAGTGTTATTTTTTCATGATGTTGGAAGAAATGTGGGAAAAAATTTTTTTCTGCACTTTCACCCATTGTGCGTCTCATTTTCAAAACCTGCTTTGCACTTGCCTTAAAAGCATGAAAAGAAAAAGTTCCTATTCTGCAAGCTACAGAAACAAGGATTCTTTTATAACTTCACTGTTTGTAAATGCACTCACAGGAACGAAAGGATGGGAAGAGAAGCAGAGGGGAAGCGGGGAGGGGATGGGAGGAGAATGGAAAAGGGAAGAGGAGAGGAAAAGAGAGGAGAAGAGGAGAGAAGAGAAGACTGCTTCAGTACCATGATAACTGTACAGAATGAAAAGTTTGGAGAATTGGCTACGTCATGATGTTGGCACCTTGTGCCCTATTGCTAATCTAGATTGTTAACAAAGTATCATTACCTTTCTTTCCTGATGCAGAAGGACGAAAACAGTACGTCCGTAAAAGAAACACAAAGTAGGCAGGAGCAATGTAAAGGAAAATGTGCTTGAAATTTAACAACACAGCAAACCAAAATGAACCCTCCAATGTCTGACCCTGAAACAAATGAATGATTATTTGTACAGATTATGGGGTTTACAAATTCCTCTTCCACTTTGAAGGCAGTTTAACTGCTTCTCTACAATTTTGAAAAATGCAAAATCACTTTACAAAGGTACATGGTTTATTACAGTTAGAATCCTAATTTCTCAAAGCCTCAGTTTTTCCAATAATTTGAACTAAACCTAATGTCCCTTCACCACACAGACACTGTAATTTTACCCCTTTGGGTGCTCTCTCTGGAAGACCACTAATTAAAAGGCTGATTGATGCATTATCTCAGTTCATAGTTCTAGAAATCTTGTTATCTTACTTGTACATTGATTTCATACACAATGTTTTCTAAATAACATACCTAGTACCACTACCTCATTTTGAAAGTGATGTAAAGTAAGTTCACAACAACAACAATAACAACATAAACTTTATTTATACTCGAATTTCAGAGTAGCTAACAAACTGACACTACATGAGAATAATATAGAAAGATATATACACATTAAATGCATTATAAGTAATAATAATAAAATAATATTAATAATAATAAGCACATAAAAAAAAAGAAAAGAAAAGAAAGAAAATATTATTTACGATTCACAAAGTTTGTGTGGAAAAGAAAACAGAACAGAATCTATGGCCAAATAATTAGTTTAATTTCAAACATCAAAGACCTCAATATGAATAATAGTTATTGCTACACATACCTCAGACAGCTTTGTTATGGAAAGGAGAAGAAGGCCGAAGAGAAATCCATTGTACTGAAAGTGAATGTCTGAAGAAAAGTTAAGGAACATATTCAGCCTACCAAATGAAATACTCAGTCGTCGAAGGAGCTAAAGGAGCCAAGAAGAGTATCAATTTTCAAACCTTTTCATATTTTTGCACAAGGTCTGTCTAATCATAAAATGTGAACTTACACAAACATGTGCGCTGCTTCAGTATTGAAAGGAAACACTTTGGCAGCAAATTTTGCTGTCCAATTTTGGGCTCAAATTAGAAATGAAACAACATTTTAGTCCAGCTGAAAATTACCTTGGGAATCAGCCCCTAAGAACAGTTTCATAATAATAATAGATAATAATCATTTCACTTTCCAAAGCGCCAAAATCCTTATAGTTCTAAGGTGCTTTATAAAGTATGTACAAAAAGTTAAAGATTACAAGTGTAAACTTTCAAATTTACAAGTATAAAACATCAATAATTTATGAAAAAAGGGCAATAAAAGTTTACTTGGAAAACAAACAAACATAGGTAGATGTTAACTAAATGTTCTGTTAAAAAGAAACGTCTCCAACTTATTCTTAAAGATATCGTCCAACTGGGAGTAAATTAATTCAAGGGGCAAAGAGTTCCATAATTTTGGAGCACAGACTGAGAACGCATGATCACCATATGTCTTCAAATTACAGAAAGCAACAGAAAGTAGATTTGACGAGGATGACCTAAGCTTGCGTGTCGGAGAGTAAAATTAATAGTTAATGGCTAGGTCTGTATGTAAAGAGGTGCTAAGTGATGTAAAGCTTTGTAAGTAAAAAGCAGAATTTAAAGGATAATACTTTCATTAACTGGGAGCCAGTTAAGCTCTTGTAGTATTGATTTGTATGTAAGGATACGATCCACAATAAGAAGTCCAAAATTGAACACAACAAGCAAGGCTAAGATTAGACAATTACGTGTTGGGACAGAAGCCTTTCTCGCAAGATAACCACAGTACCTAAAAATTAAATGTTACCATAGACCATGTAAACCAGTATTAAAAAGGAAGGAAAAGGATAAAACATGGCAGTGCGGAGATAAGAAATTTCTCTTTGAACATTGAAAAATATAAATTTCGTAACTCCAAGCAGCCATGTAATGTTCTATTACATTATATAAAAAGAAATGAAAATCCAAACCATTTCATGACAATATTTTTTCTGCCACGAAAGGCACAATTTATTATGTAGCATAGCAACAGTGACCTTTTCAAGTGTGAAGATATCATGTTTTTGGGCAAAAGTTGTATATAATAATAATGATTATTTAATGCTGAAAGTTAATTTTGTGTTCCAAACTTTCACAAAGCAGGGCAACAAATGTACCAAAATTTTACATTGAAGATTAAAGCATTGGATTAGAAAACTTTTGAATGTTTATCTCTTTCACTTTAATCTACACTGACTTATGGCAAGATGATTTAAAACTCTAACTAGGAAAAAAATGTTTTGGTGTTACCATCAAATGAACAAATCTCTTTGGTATAACTTTGCACAGACTTTATATAATTCTTATAATGGGATTTAATTACAAAAAAGTGGACATACAATGTGAAGGCAATGTGTGGTTCCAAAAAATATTCATACCTCCCCCACGGAAGAGATTTTTTCTTATACAACCCCCCCTCCCTCCACCTGTCTGGAAATTCCAGTCAAGCTTCATACATTAACTTAAGATTTTGGGCCTTTGAGAGCCCTTCACCCCCCAGAAATTTCCAATCCCTTCTGTGCGGGGAGTACGGATATTTTCTGGAACTACACTATGAAGAACACTGTGAAGAAGTTGTCTATTGATACCACATGGCTGAAATACTGCTATACTCACTCCTTTATAGCATAAGCCAGAAGAAGATCTGTAAAAATAACTGATCCTCTTTGGAACAGGATGGTCGACTGACTGACATACTTCAGTTTGCTTATAACAACCATTTGTGGGTTGACAATGGCGGCAGCTTGTGATAATAAATATTCAAACCAGGCAAAGAGAGGCGGATAGTCCAAAGTCCACTCCGAGGTTTTCTACCAAACATAAAAAGAGTTGAGTTAAGAAGAGTTGCAGAGCTGATCCAGATACTAGGACAAGAGAGCAGCTCGGCCTGAAAAAGAATTTTCCCGTGCCATGCCAGCTTTGTTTTGGCTTTTAAAATACTAGCGTGGGGGCCAGCATCACCTCAGGGTGTTCATTAAGAATTGGAGATCGGAAAATTATCCAGTTACTACACTGAATTCTCCGGCTAATGTTCAGTAGCCTAGGACGGTTTTTTATTCAGACATGGAGCCACCTTCGAAATCTTGCATCTGTCCAAACCTCTCCACTAGGTCTGCCAATGTATTAAGTGCGACTTTGACACTTGCTAGTGAAAACCAGCCTTTTCAGTTGTAGATGTCTGAGTCACATTATTGAGACAGAGTAAGCTTATGAATAGTAGCATAATAAATCAATATTCCTTGGGTTAACTGGCTGCCTCACTGAATAGAAGGTGGGTGCCTGGGGTATCCAGGGGCTGCCACTGTGATCAGCCAGCCACTAGATAGAATCTGCCCCTACAGCTGGCAAATCAATGCAACCAAGCCATGAGCCCCATACTAGGCACCCATCACATACACTGAGGAATCAGTGAAAGGAAACATATATGTAGAGGGCAGGGAGGGTGGGGGGAATGCTCTTCGCCACCAAAGAACTTGACAATCCTGGCTGTTACAAAGCGACAACCTTTCACACAAGCCTGCACGTGTGAGTTTGACTGCTGACAAGCGGAGGCTGCTATGCTCATGGCAGTTAACTTTGTTAAAATTTGCATGTAACTTAATATATAAAATAAAGTCAAGAAAACACTGTACCTCGTAATACCATTTGGACAGAGGGAGACTGTAGGTGATAGCAAGCCAGTTCCTGTGTACTTCAAAATCACTAGAATGACTGAAAAAGTTCCACAGAGAAAAGGGAAAACAGAACCAATGCAAAGAAAAATAATGTCATTCTAATCCCATTCGTTGGGCATGTTTTCTAAACTTAAAAATGAGAAAGTTCTAAACATGTAATCAGCGATAATGATTGATTATTACCGTCCATGCTGATATGTATAAGTTTAATAATATTGCAATTTTCATATCAACTTTTTCAAAAAAAGGTCAAATGTTTAAATTAACAATATGTTTAGTTAGTGACTGTCTGCAAAAAGCAAGTTTCAGTCAAACACAATGATATCTTCATGAAAGAACTACATTCTTTTACATATGTAGTTACTCACACTGTCAATTAAATGTTAGTTTCAAGGATTTCTGATGATTATCAAATATTGTTAATGAATGGTTAATAACAAATCTGTACCACTTTAATTTGTACCAGCCAGTGAGGATCAAGACAATTACTGTAAATAAGATTTATTGAAATACAACATGGGGCATGAATAAAAACACTTACAACACTCTAGATTTCCATTATTCATTGTTCTTAAGTTGCTGGGATGTTGGACTATGGGTCAGGCCCTTAAGAGGAGGCATGCAAATATGGACACGATCGATATAAACACACATCAAAGACGGCAAAATTTAAAGAAATATAAAGCTGATGAAAACGGGTGAAGTCTCCCTCCCCTATCTGAAAACAGCAACAGATTCCTTAGACGTTTAGTACCTAGTCATGTGTAGTTCAGGTTGATTAATTTATAGTATTTTCTATGAGAAATTTAAATATTTACCTCTAACGTAATGGCATATTATAACATGTGCAAAAAGGCTATTATTATTATTTGTCATAGCTAACAAGCTGTTATGATCAAGTGAATCAAAATTGAATAGATTAAGCTGATAAAGATTCTCACAAGAAAATGTCGTGCCCTTATTAACCCTTTAAACCCTAATATCAAAATTCAAATTCTCATTTGTTGTCCCCATATGTTTTCAATAGAAGCAGTGGGCAGAATTTGTTGAAGTATCAATTAGATTCATCTTGTGTGATCAGGCCCTCAATTCTCATGACCACTGTGTTTTATAAAGCAGTGATATTGCAAGGAGAAATTTGATGCTGATCACTCTTAGGGCTTAAAGGGATAACATACTAGGATATAGACATTGCATTTGTGGTTAGTATGACGCAGCATGATTCAAGCTGTGAATACTAACCACAAATGCAATATGTATATGTGATATTTTTATATCACATGGAACTTGTCGGTTGCTTGTTTTGTGGTATGCAAATATAATAGCGTGTTACAAAGATCAATATAAGAAAGATACAAAGATTAAACAATCAATCCTTTGCAATTAAAAATTACAGAATAAAAAATTGAAATATTTAAAAAAATTTGAATGGTCGATTAAATTATCAGAAATGCATTAGCTGGCCAAAGTCTTTTGAGTCTTAATGAAGAAAGTGTGACTGTATTTTTCAAAGGGTTTAATCTACAGTTTTGACACCAGCATATCATTTATGTATTCTGAAGTTGTATGAAATGGAATGATATTGAATATGTGGTAAATTTTGCATCAATAATAGCAGTGTTTGTTTAGGTGTCTACACAGGCTTTGACATGCTTAGTTAGCTGAGTACACATGTGGATAAATGTATTATGCCTAAGTTAAAGTCTTAGACAAGTAAAACAAATTAAAATAAAAACATATGACCTGAATTTGAAAGAAACTGATCTTTAATTAAAAAGTTAGACCAACTATGGTAGTCCCAAGTCAATTCTTTGTGCATATTACAGTGACAAAAATCTGTGTGCCTCAAGCAAATGTTTCACATGAAATGTAAAGAATGATCACTGTATTTATTCAAATTTATTTTTTGCTTTCAAAGTTAAGCTTTAAACATGAGCTTGCATATTCTCCCTCAAGCCTTATTCAGATGCACTGATTTTTCACCATTTTATCGCTTACCGCCGAAACGGAATTGAAAATTCCCAGAGAAATGGTTTTGATAGTTCTGCAGTGTAGGCTACAGTGTTTGAGATTAGAAATCTTTGTAAGTCTTAAGTGAGGAAAGTAGAACGTTAAAATACAGTGTAAAATAATAGGTGAAGTTGAATATCGACTAACGCAATCACACATGTACATTACACTTTAAAATGTTTAAAAGAACTAAAGGCTAGATAATAGAACACCCGCGAATTAAATGAATGGTACTAAGCTGGAATCAACAGTGACTTGAGGATAGCTGAGAACAGAACAACGCTTTTCCACCATCCCATGTCGTCCGAAATTGCCGCCATGTTGGATTAATGTGGCAACGCGTGAACAACAACAGCAGAGGCCGCTGCTTGACTCTAAGCCCTCGGTATCGTGTTGGTCTGCGTGTTGTTGAACCGTGACACACTTGGCTTTAGTCAGCTTTTAGATCAGATGGCATGACACACGCATGGCGAGCAAAAAGGTCTCTGTTTCCTCGACTTCTCTGTCTATGACTCTTCCAATTTCTTGCCAGATATGTCTTGGAAAGGTGAGTGCTCCTAATACGAGTAAAAATGCTTGTGTTTCTTGGTATTGCTATTCATATTTGTGGCGTAAAGTTCAGGCCAAGCTCATTGTTTTGTTTCGCGTTTTCAAAGGTTAGAGAACCCGTTGTTTGCCCCAATCAACATGTGTTCTGCTCAACCTGCATGGATACCTGGCTTCGATCGCACTCATTTTGTCCAACGTGCCGTACATCTATTACTACAGAGCAGCCTTGCAAAGAAAATCCTAGGTGAGAAAAATATAGGGATGAATTCTGATGCCAGTGGGGAAACCGGGAAGCTAAAGCCTAAATATTCATGTAGCAGTCTTCATTGTTTATACAGACCAAAGAACAATGAAACCTTGAAGGCCAATTCAGAACTTCCTTTTGTTTGAAAGTGTTACGGTGTGAAACCTGCCTTGTGAAATCTGCCTAGTTACTTTCCGCGAAACCATGAGTATGCTCGATTGATAGAAGGTCGAATTGTGCGGGAAATGCCAAAACCAATCAGCTTCTTCGAGTTTGCGAAAAGTTCTCGTTGCCCCGGGGTTAACACGTCCTCTAAGAGGGAGACACTTTTTTGGTTCAAATTAACATTATTACGGTTGACACTGCTCAACTAGATCGAGTTAAATGGGGTTAAAATTTCGCACGTTATATCAGATGTGATTATTATGCCCAGGAGTTGCAATATATTTTGACCAATTTTCCGGACCTGACAGTCCATTTACAACGGCAAGTGTACACCCATTGACGTAATACGAGAAATACCGAAAGAAAACTAATCCAGCGTCCCCTTGCTTGATCTGGAGAAGCTGAGAAAATTGCGCCAAAAAGCCCTGCCCTCTGACTTTGAACAAAATTCTGTGTCGGACTTATGGGTCATTGACCGTCTGTTGTGCTTGCATACTGATCATATTTGCCTTGATTCTGAACCCCCTAGAGACTACTTAATAATGACATTCGTGACCTCAACAACCTAAACCCATATCAGCAACAAAAGGAGTGACATAATAACTTTATTGTACCCAATCAGGTGGGGGATTCTTTATAACCTGATCTTTTATAAAGCAGTTTTTAATTGAAAGGCATCTGTTGTTCACGTTTATGCCGCAAGCTGTCAGTTTTTACAAAGCAGGATGTTGTTTAACCCAATTTCCTGCCGTTACACTTGAAGTGATTTAATTTGACTAATAAAATTGTATGGTTTCTGTGGCAACCAAAGTGACCTCCTCTATTTTTGCTCCAGACAGACAATTTGTCTGAATTTTAATGTATCTCTTCCTCTAGGATCCAATATTCGTATCACGGTCCCTGATAAATATTATTTCACCACAGAAAGTGAACACTTGACAAATTTTGTCCAAAAAAAATTTGCCCCCAAGTTTATTTTTCGTTTTTCAATCTTTATATCAGGAAGTATTGACTTGCCCGTGAACTCTGATGCCGTGACCAGAGCTGAGCTGAGAAGAACCAGACTTTGATTTAATCAGACGAGAATATGAGGTACATGTACACGTGATCACTGGTTGCTACTATTTCTGAAAACGCATCATCAGTAAAAGAGTGATCCCAACTATACTGCACTTCAACCACTATCCATGATATAACATCACCCTTTGCTTTGATTAATAAGGAAGAAAATGTTGCATTGAAAAAGTACATCCAAACAACATCATTTTCAGGCATCGCGTGATCGAATACAAAAAGCCTTTTTTGAATATTCAGACAAAGGGGCTGGACCTAGAATTCATCAATGTTATGTCATCTTCTTGCTCCTGTGTGGTCAAAATGATATTAATAGTGACGCTTTTGATCATGGCTTTGTCGTTTACACTTGCGCCTAACAAAAAAATTTTTGAATTATTATATTCAATGTACAAGTTCAAATTTGGAAATAATCATATTTTTGACTCTTCAAATTTTTATCCATATTATTTTAACTGAGCAGGCCTTTATTCATCCTTAAATCTATACCAATTAACATTCAAGATGAGATTTATCTAGCTTGTTGCCGCACCAGGTCATTGCAAGTATGTTGACTATGTGTACGCATTTATTATTATTTTATTATTTGTCTATCCTCTCACGCAATGCTCTTTCATCACTATGAGTTTTTGGCGTAGCGCCTGGTCAAAGTTTGAATTTGTTTCGAGATGAAGTGGTGTTAAAATTATATGAAGACAAAAACCCATCACCTGGTTCAAAATTGGTCCATAGTTTAAAACAGACACCTCGCAGTCTTAAATAATATTTTGTGTATGTTTTGGAGTGGTGATGCTCACCAAAGTCATCCATGTGATAACAATTTATTCTAGATGTTTATGAATCACACCAAAAACAATAATGCCTAGCACAAGTCCAAAGTTCGCTAAGCAATACTATTGTTTACGCCAAATTTTTTTGTTATGAAAAATTTGCCAAACACTGAGTCAAGAAGCTTTTGTGTCACGGAACAGTGCGGAACAGAATGGGGGCACGACAGTTGTGCTAGTTGCAGCTTTCGGCCCAACAGCCATAACTAGTAACTTATGTTTCATCAAGAACTTTTGATTTTGTGCAGAACTGATATGCTCAGTATCTTTGATTAAGTTGGTTCGTGCTTTGGGGCTTGCCTTTAATTTTTTCTTTTAGAATGTTGCGGGGCTTGAATGAATACTAGTACCGGTGGTGTCATTGCCTGCAATGGAAAAAGTTATGTACTTTTTGGAAGCTTAGGAAGAGTGCTTTGTGCAAAAGTTGAAAATTTTGAGAAAATAAGTTCCAAGTCCGCTTAGTCGAAAACATGCACTTTGCACTGATAGAAAAGTTAACTGTTGCCTGGAATTACCCTGTATTTTGTCCCTTCTATATAATGGTGGTATATAATGGTGTATTTGCTTGTGGTGAATTTTACCTTATCCAATCTTTTTAGAAGATAAAATCCAAAAATATGTGCATAATCCTATTAGCTATTAATTGTTTGTCCTTATTATATCTAAAATGGACATTACCCTCGTCCGTAATCAATTCACCAGCATTAGGTGAACCAAAAAACCCACCAATCCATGTCAACCCATCTCCTGAAAATCAATTTTGACTATCGTAAAATTCCTACCATTTTTTCATAAAATGATGGAAACCACTGGTATATATGTACATTTTAATTGTCTAGAGTTACAGGAAGTTTAGTCCTGAAATACCTTGTTTTGTGTTATAAATCCATGACACACACCCTATGCATGTGTAAAAACCTTTGTTCTCTAAGTCTTGAACTGACACAAGCATGCTATTGTATTTTTTAAATTCTGCCACAAATAGAAATGAGGTGTGCAGGGAATCTTAAGTTGTGTGTATTAGACAACCCGGGTCAAACAAACACAATTCTTTGGCAGACCATCACTTCCAATCACCTTGGCATCTCATGAGAGATCTTCCTTCAGATCATATTCTCAATCTGGTTGATGCCAAACAGCTGGTAGACATGCGCCATAAATATTGTCTTTTATATCCTGCTCAAAGTCCATTGCATGCTGTAGGGGAATACATTGTGTTGCTCCTGAAACATCCTTTACTTCCCCAATGGATGGTTTATTGATCTGAAATTTTAAAAATTCCAGAATAGGTCCATTCAAGTACTTTTTTTTTTTCGCTTCAAAGAGCTGCTGTTCTCCCACCCTTTGAATTTCTACTGACCTTCCATGCTGAATGTATGAATATTTTCTCGAATCAACTTTCTAATGTTCCACAACCTGGATGATGCAGACATAACATAGAAAGAATTTTAAGGAGGTGCCTTCCCACTCCCCCCACCCTTACTTTGGAATTTCTTTCTGTTAGCTGCTATTTTCTGAAGCAGTTATTAGTGAATGGTTAAAAAATATTTTAATTTAGCAGTTGATTTTACAGTCAATGAGATGATCAAAGATATGCTAAGAAAGAAAGACATTTTTCACAATTCTAGTTGCATAATAATGTACATTGTGTAATCAAAGTACTTTCATTCTTGTTTTTTTCAATGCGTTCTAGTCATCTGTAGATTAAAACATATTTTCTTTGGGAAAATACACCACCAAATAAGTGATCTATTTGGAAGGAATATTTTTCTAATCACCATGATAAAATCAAATTGTTAAGTATAGGTGAGTCGCATGATCCAACCACCCTCCCTCCCCTGACTGTCAGGAAGTATGAGCTGTATCTTTAATGAGCCTTTTTAGTGGGGATACGTAATCCCTAGTCTTGATTTCAAAACCTGTTGTTTCAAGTATTGTGGAGGAAGTTGTGTTTCTTTCTTTCCTTCATTGCTGTCGCAGTTTGAACTTAACTTTGTGTCATTTGTTCTCATTTCATCTGGCCTGTGTCACTGTTTCGAGGCCAATGTTCCATGATTTTGCCTCAGTTATTAAGCTGTTTTTATTTTTCCTTAAATAATCTTGTCAGTCTGCAACCCTAGACCCTTGGCAATAAATTATGATGTCTGTTTCAGTCTTTTTTTCCCATCTTGTCCCCACATATGGGCCATTCAAAATATGAGTTTACTACCTGGTTGATTTCTGGAAAGTAATGGTTACACCATATATATAATGGTTTTGATTAAAAGCAGGGCAACAAAATGGTGGTGATTACATTCACGGTTATGTAACCTTATCCACCCAGGCCTGGTTGTTCACTATCCCATATGGATAAATCACTATCCAGTGATAGACATGAGGGAAAACCAGTTGCATTATTTACTGGATAGAGATTTATCTGGTGGATAGCTGCTGTCTCCTTTTAAAACAATTGGGGCCAGATGATCTTCACAACAAACAGTATTGTTGAAATCCTCACTAACGGTGAAAATTAAACTAAGATTTCCTTTTGAAATTAGGGTCTTTCACTGTTGTTACATTACCTTAGTCAATGAATTTAATTTTTAAATAATTTTTAAAACACAATGATTCTTTTAAGTTTGTGGAACATGTTTCAGTGTTTCAAACTTCATCTTCAGCTATAATAATAATATATAAAGTAACTTGGTATATAATAATTATATAACTATCCAAACAATGATTGCCTACACATTATAACTATTAAAGCTAGCCAATAATATGAAAGAAACTAAACCAACTATAAGGGCAACTTAAAAATGTCATTGTGTTTTTAAAAACTATTGCTGCATTATTGCTATCAAGACCTTTTGGAAATTTTTTAAATGCAGAAAAAGGTGTGGTGCCATGCACCACCAAACTATAGAGGTTGTCAGACCTTTGATGGGTCACTTGTTTGTTCAGTGACATAATTATATATTATCAAAAGCCCACAGAGTCGTCATAACTCAGTGTCCTTGACATTTTCTTTTTTTTAAATAAGAAATTATTTTCTTTGTAGGATGAACTTAAATCACTTCAGAACACCGTTGAGAGACTAAAGTCTGAAAATAAACAGCTTCACGAGAAAATGATTGAAAGAGAAAGAACGATGGCCTCCATGGACTTCACCACCAGAAGCAGAGGACCAGACGATGGTCCTGGTAAACTTGACATTGATATGTTGGTTAAACTGACTACCAGGTTGCAAGAAGCAAGCCACACTTATGAGAGTTTGAGAGGAGATATGGATAAGATCAAAGAGGTACACATAATTATTGCTATAATGTTATTAATAATATTATTCCTAGACTATCACTCAATTAAGCAGGGACTGCATCAGGGTTTTCGTTTCAGGCCAGATGGTGATGCTGGATGCAACATCTAGTTGTTTAACATGTACATGTATTGTCCATAGGTTCACGCAGAGGATAATAATAATTTATTATTTTTTAAGTGTGAAAGGTTTGAACCCAGGAGTCATTTCAAAAGGTTGAGTTTGATCGTCTGGGTGAACGTAGTCCTGAATAGGACTGTTGTTGTTGACAGTGACTGACGTTTCGACAACCTGTGCGGTAGTCATCTTCAGAGTCAAAGGGGTTGTGTCACGTCAGTTGATGGTATTATACTCTGGTTATTGATCTGATTGGTCAATTGCGTTAAGCAATGTTATTAATTAGGTGTGTCAGTTAAGCCCGTGATGTTATTGGCTATGAAGACTTCGTAATCATTGATTGAGTGCGTTTTAGATCAAATCTATTGTCACAGTTAAACAATCGTCTATTGATAGTCAAATTGTCAGTTCTCCAGTTGTTCTCTAGTTAGTTTTGGCAATCTTGTCAATAAGTTGTTTGTACAAGCGCTGGTAACTGTTGGCTACGATTCAGTGGCGTTTGTTCTAAGTTAGTAAACCAGCTTTCTAAAGTGAGATGTTGATGATGATCTGTAGAATACGTTATACGTTTAGAGTCTCAGCCAGTTTGATGTTTCGTCTTTAAATGGTGCTCAACAGTATGATTGTTGATATCACCATTCCTCGTTAGCGTTTAGGTTCAAGTTAGTGGCGTGCTTAGGCTTGCAAGTTTCACTAAAAGTAGAAGCCTGCAGTTGTGAAAAACATTTCTTTCTTTTTTTTTTATTAATCAAGATAGATT